ACCCGACTCGCAATCTGCGGGTCGTGGGTTCGATTCCCTGTCCCACCAAACATGCTTTCCATTTCAGCTGTGGGGGCATTATAATGTGATAGTCAGTCCCGTATATTCGTAAAAGAGTAGCCCCAGGGTTGAATGTAATGGTTACCACATTGCACATATCTCATAGTAACTTTTATATGATTTGTGAATAAATAACTAAACAGCCAACTGTATACCTGCTTTTTCCACTCTCTGTATGTATGTATATATATATATAGAGAGAGAGAGATATACACACAAACGAAGGTTTTTGATTTGTAATCTTGGTAAGTAACTGTATATTTTCATTTGTAATTATTGTAGTTTTTACTGGTATTGATTCACAAGCTTTTCAAGATCATTTGGTTAATGCTAGGAGATCTTGTGTAGCTTCTCTTTACTAAACTTATCTGTCAAGCTTTATTAATATCATAGTCTATCCTTAAGAACAATATTTCTTACTTGTATTTTTCTCATGGTATGTTAATCATAAAAATTTTACATAAAGTTTTATGCATAAGTATTCTACTTCATGTAACTGACAACAAAAAGAAATGCCATAGAAGCAGCTATTATACATCATCTATTTATCTTAGCATTTTGCTTTATAATTTTGAAATTACATGTCACAGTATTGTGGGAAAAATTTTCACACACAGGGTTGAAGGGGAACAATTGTTCTTGAACAACTTTTGGGAAGAGCAGGTAACTATCACGTTGTTTGCTCTTTCTTCAAATAAAATTCCTGCCATGTTATGTTTTTTTTTTTTTTTTGTGTGTGTATATTTTAAAGAACCTCATAATTTAAGAACTCAAAACATTTAGAAAAGTAGAAAATCATCCATCTGGCAAAAGAATGAATAAAAATGCATTAATTAAACAATATATTTCGTATGAAAACCTTTGTATCATATTTCTTATAAAGTAGATTGACATAATTCTCCAGTATCACATTTAATGCATTCACCTCTTACTCTGGAGAATCAGCTGCTTCTAAAATTCTAAAAAGACCAGAACTTTTATCAGTTTTACTTCATGAAGTTAGTTTGCTGAGTATAAACATTAATGCTGTGTACATTGTTGGATATTATATACATTTAAAGATAAAATTTGAATGTTTAAAATTCTATCCTTAAATACATTAGATATTAAAGACATTGTGGTAAGTTTCAGCTTTTGGGAATTAGCAGTTCTTTTTATAGTTCTGATGTGTGTGTATCTGGAATTGTATTATAATGGCCCTATTTCATGACATTTTTTGATTTATACATGTATTCAAACATTAAAGAAACATATTTTGGAAATTGCACATGTGCCCCCCAAAAGGTGTAGCTGAAAACTATAGGTAGCACTGCTTTATTTTTCTGTATGTACCCATTTGTACATGAATAAAGAGGTGACACAATGAAAAAGTACTAGGAGAAATAGCCTTTAAGCTAAAATGTATTTTCCTTTTAATAGGTTGTGATTTGTTTTTGCATTACATGATGCTGTAATTTATTATTTATTATGAATATTTTGAAACATTACAGTGTAGTTATAAACTTAGTTTGTGTTTCCTTAAATAGTATTTATATTATTCTTTACTACTTAGTTTATTCCATGCAGCTAGTTGTTTAATTAGAATGCAAATTAAAATCAGGCTGCATATGACTCAGGACAGTATTCAACCTTCATGTTATATCTTTGTTTCACCAAATATGACCATGAGAGTTACTTCTAGCCTGTTCATATTGTTAACTGTCTGTTTTTTAGATATCTAAGAATGATTTATTAGCTCTGGACTTTGAAGGTGTACTTAAGTACTTCCGTGTTTCACTTCCAAAGAAATACCGTACTGAGGAAATGGCTCGTCAGGTGTTGAACACAGCTGTCAGAGTAAAAGTATGTTTAACAGCTTTAACATATTAGTTATGATGAGATTTGTGTATAAAAATCATTCTTCATTCCTAGTATTTGACATGAGTATGTAAGGTAAAAATATCTATTCCGATATGGCACTTACCTTGTTCAGTGATGCCCTCTATATTTGAACATTTTCTTTACGCATGCCACAAGCCTTGTGCTCCCCCCTATTGGAATTGAAAGATTCCAACATGTCTCTCATGCAAATCATCATGTGTCACTTCTCCACCAATAGGAGCTTAACATGCTCATTTGACACACATGACTCCCTCTATACTCCTCTACTGAAATATTACTTCTCATTTGGTAGTGCTCGTGTTCAGAAGTTTTGAATTTTGCTCTCGTGTGCTTCGTCGTCGTAACTTTAACAGTTTTTTCTACTCGTTTTTGCTTATACAGCTGACAAATTTATTTTCAATTACTTTTTAGTCTTTATTTATTTTTTAATGTTGTATTATCTATCAGACATTTTGTTTGATATCGTATTTCCAATGAATTCTGAGGTTAATGTGACCACTTCAGGTTTTAAGCCTACTATGAGCACTTTTTTTTGCCATTGCTGCAGGTGGGGTGACCTGTCATTGGATTTATCTGTAATTAATTGCTGGGAGATTGATTGTTATATGGGTCAAACACCTTCTCCTGATGTTGCCCCACTTCCTCATGAACAATCCAAACCTGTTTGTTCTGGTAAAGATTTGATGGCCTTTTTCCACCTCTGGATTTTTCCGTGTCTTCCTATGCCTCACCTGCAGAATCAGCTAGGCCTATCATGTTGTTTTTGGCTATATTTCTCAGGTATGTGATGTTTTATCCCTTTCCCTGGACATTAGGGTTCATGTTGCACATTTTGCTTCCTAATTGGTTGAAGGTGCTAGCATACTTTGCCCTTGCAGGCTATGGATCAGTTTGCTTTGGCATACCATCATGCAGACTGTCCATTTCTAGAATATCAGTTATTTGGGTCTATTTTGCCTGTAAGGGAGCACTCCCTGATTTTCTGTTTCATTCTCCCATGCCCAGTTTTCATGCCTTTGTCTTACCCTTACTCCCCTTTTGTATTTATCTACCATACATCTCCTTTCTGAGGCTAAGCACTGAAATCCTGAGAGTTTTTCAAGCGATAATCTCTCACCTTCCTCATGTGGTTTCTCCATTGTTGGGATCTTCTGGGTCATGATACGGCTTTGTCACAGGTTTGTTGGCTGTCCACTTATCTCAGGGTGTTCCATTTAGCCCTTCTTTTCAACCATATCCCAGGCACTTTCGAATTATGTGTGGAATCCCTGCATCATCACACTATCTTTTTCTTTTTGGGTTTCTTGTTGATTGCAGTCAGAATCATGACAAGCTCTATTCCTGTTTCCCATCCTAGTCCCCTCAGTTCTTACCTATTCCTTCTTCCAGGGTTCCGAATTTTGTTGTTTTCTGCAACATAGATCGGCATGATGACGACAGTACCGGTGACTA